CATAACCTAGTGTTTTATCTCTTGTGTACCTTTCAACTTGTGTGTGTGCATGTTGTCTTCCTTGTGTCCCCAGTTCTTAACATTGAATTTTTTTTCTTTCTGAAATAAAGGGTGTGACTTGCTGTAGCTCATTTTTTTTATTGAAAAGTGAAGGGGAAATTTTGGGAACTGATTAATGCAGAGTCAGGACCAGAACGCCCGTCCCTGGTTTCAGGTCATGTGTCTCTCCAGCAGACAACTTTTGAAGTCTTGATATGGCAAAATTTCTTGTTTGGTGCCTTTTTATTTCATGTGAACTTTGTTTACCTCTACTATTTAAAAAATATAATTGATTAAAAATTAAAAAGGTACAAAGGGTATCCCAAAAAGTGTATGCACACTTTGAATGATTATAAAGTGAGTGTTTATTAACATACAATTCATTTTCAAAATTTAAAATAATCTACAGAAATGAATACCTTTTTTCAATGGCTTTTTTTCAAACTAATGATTGTTCTGGTCTAGACACTACTGATAATGTGAAGCAATGGATTCGCAAGCATCAAGAGTCATTTTGTTCGGTATTTGTGTGCCCTCAATCCATTTATCTTTTATGTGTCCCCATAAAAAGTCGAGTGGCACTTTAGGATAAATTTTCTTTATTCAAAATTTAGTCTGGCTTCACCCATTATATCAAATCAGTTAAACCTGAAAAGCAATGAAAATTCAGTAAGTTATCAGCTGTTAAAGTGTGTATACATTTTTCTCCAAAAAAATGTATACACTATATACTCTGTAGTTACTATATACTCTGTAGTTAGCAATGTAATGTTTAATTAAAATATAGGTATACCAAGAAAATGTATACACACATTTTAAATAGTTATAAAGGCATTGTTTATTAAAATATATTTCACTTTCAAAATTCAGGTATCATCTGTTAAGTGTACATACATTTTTGGGGACATCTTGTATATGTAGCTAAATTTAAAAAAAATTACCACCCTATAAACACTATAATTTTTAATAAGTAAAAAAAATAGTTGAGGTGCCAAACATTTATCATTACGTGTGTTTATAAATATGACACCTAAAACATTGAAGTGGATTCTTTCTCACAAAATTTATATAAAGTAGAAGAAATAATAACATTTGTGGTATACTTTAAAAATGTTAGTAAGAGACCACCAAAATATATTATGCATTTTATATATGTCTTAGAGACAATTCAATAGAATTTGGTTAATGGAGGATTAGTGCAAAAATTCTTTCTAATTACATCTGAATGGAATGGAAAAAATATGGCATATTCTTACTTGGTAATTTCAAAGCAATTACCAGATACTTGCTGATGGTATATCTTTCAGTCTATAGGAGAACAATTTTCAGAGTACATAAAATTTGTTAAACATCCTCTGCTCTGTGTGCTTTGATAGTTCAGTCAGAGCTTGGAGACTGGATTCTCTCTGTTTTAAGAGCATCCATTATTTAAATGAATTTAAAAAAATACAAATTGATGAAGTGAGTTCTCCAAAGTAAAATATCTCTTCTTACCAAGTTTAGGTGCATTTCTTTATTCCGAAAATTTATGTGATTGGTTCTGTGTACTGAGGAAATGAACTAGTAACAAAAACTAGAATAATTACACTATCTGCAGCTCAAAATGTAGAGATAACTAAGTTCGTACTTATTGGAGCATGTAACATTACAAATCTGATGAGACAGCAGTCATACAAAAGAGAATGAACAAAAGATTTGCATGAAAGTATAGAAATAATAATGAGACTATTGTTAGCAATATGTTATGTCTAAAATGAATTATTCCTTAACCTTGTCCTGAAAACACAATGTTATGGAAATATCATTTGAAATTCATTCACAAGACCTATGCAGAATTCCCAAGCTATTGCTACTGAGATTATTTTCTTTTTTTACCCTCTTTCTCTAAGTACGGGCACACATTCATGTATACTTATGTAGCCATTTCTGGGTTGGTTTCTTATTTTCTACTATGTACTAGAGAAAGAATGAGATTATTAAATTTTATATTAAAAATTTAAATTTCTAATTTGGGTTTTCAAGATAAGATTTGCCAAAGAATTTCAGGGGAAAAAACAGTTATATTTATTAAATCAATATTTTAATGCTTACCTTACCCTGAAATTGTGTTTGGGGTAAAGTTAGTGTAGAAAAGTTAATAGTTTTGACAAAAAAAGTAATGAAGTATTTATAGCAATTTGCCCTTGCTGTTATCTCCAGTAGTATAATCAGTAGTTAGTATTATATCACATTCCTTTTTTAAATTTCATTTTTATCTTGCCTCATTTGTACTGTATTTTACTAAATTGCCCACCTGTCCACAACAGAGAGTGTAGACCCCTTGGATTGAGGAACTCTGAACTAATTGTTTGGGTTCTTAGGGGGGGGAATAAGATCAGGTTAATATTAAAAATTAGGAGGGACTTGTTTTGAATAGAAGACATACTATTCTAAGACAAGAAGAAAAACATAGTAAGAAAAGCTGTTGGTATGTTTGTTTGAAGGGATTGGAGGACAGAGTTGAAAAATCTTAAACATTAGAATGCCTCTTTCCTCTAGGAGAGGTAAAACTATAAGCCAAAACTGAGCAGAACACCATCTAAAAGAATGGTGGGGGGCCCAGCTGGCATGGCTCAGTGGTTGAGCATTAATCTATGAACCAGGAGGTCAATTGGTTTGATTCCCAGTTAGGGCACATGCCTAAGTTGTGGGCTCGATCCTCAGTGTGTGGGCGTGCAGGTGGCAGCTGATCAATGATTCTCTCATCAAGATGTTTTTATCTCTCTCTTCCTCTCTGAAATCAATAAAAATATATTAATTTAAAAAAAGAATTGAGGGGGGTTTTGAGACCAGATCTATTCTTTCACTGAGTCATATCAATAGATCTATTCTTTCACTGAGTCATATAGACTAGATATATTCTTTTACTGAGTCATATCTTGCTTTATATTTAGGTAAAGCAATAGCTTTCCACTGATATGTTTTATAGTCAAGTTTTTAATGAAAAGGAAATGAAAGAGTTGCTTTTAAAACTTACTTTAATTCTTTTTTTTCCCAGTTGAGTCTTATAAATACCAATTAAAAGCATATTGTTAATGGTCAGAACGTCCTATCTCTCTGCCACCCACACCATGAGCATGCAAATCAGGTTTTAAGTCATCACTAGGAAGATAGAGAATAATTAAATTTTTAATTCCCTGATTGAAAACACAGAAGCAAATGTCACACTCTTAAAATCATAAGCAGTTACTTAAACACCTGCAACATTCTCATTCATTCATTCAACAGTTTACTGAGTGTTATCTGTGGTGTTATTTTTGTGTGAAATCAAGTTTTCAGGAAATAGAATTAAGATAATTGATTTAGGTAGGAATTTACCACTCAAAAATAGATATTCACCTTGTAGCTGGAAAAACAAAAAAACCCAGAAGCTATTGTCATCAATGGTATGACAGAGAGTCCAGTAATGTCGCACTTAGATTTATGCCACACGCGATATTTAGACACTGAGAAATTGTGGAAATGCATAAACTAGGTTAGATGTTTACTTCTTGGTTTAGCTTTACTGTCTACAGATGTATGATCCCCATAAGAAAATGATCTTCTCAATCCAAATATTCCATGAGCAAGGCTTTAACAGGGCCATTAATAACCTCAGCAACTGGCCCTAAGTGATTGATGACTGTGCCTGTCAGAGTGGATGAATTATAGGAGCTCAAGAGACAACCAGGTGGGGCCCTGGCAGGCACTACACACACTCATGTGTGTAAACATCAAAATGAGCACTATATACATCGTGACGTTCTTCTGTCAGGTCGATAAATCAGGATGGAGCTGCTTGGACTTGACTATTTGAAATTAGGCTCCAATACTAACCAGTGTCAAAATAGCCAGCATACTTCTGCCTCTTCTAAACCTAGGTAGTCCCAAAAAGTGGTATCACATTTGGACCTATAATGTTAAAGGCCAAAAGGGGAGACAATTTACAGTGTATGAAATTAATTATGTAAGTTATTGCTGAGCGCTCTTTATAGTAGACTTAGTATATAAATATTGGACAAGTATCAAATGCTAGCTTTGTGAGGTTGGGAATGGAATTGTGATAGAGGACAGATTTGATTCTAGGGATTTTTCTGATATAGTAGGAGTTCCTTAATCACATGTAGCACCAAAAATAAGTAAGTAAATAAATAATAAGTAAATAAGTAAATAGAAACAATGAGTTTCTAAAATATTATGAAAGGCCTTACTTCACCCCGACAACTCCCCTTTCACTGTTCTCTAGTTCTTAGCTTATTATTACTACTGTTACTACTATTACTACTACTACTACTATTTTTTTATTATTATTATTATTTTGTCGTTCATTATCTTAACAAGAAATGAGATAAAGAAGAGTGTTGTTATCACTTGTCAATTTTGCTATCATGTTTTAAAGCAGCTTTGCTGAAATGCCCAGAATAACATAAATGAAAATTAATTGCAAAACCAATGTGTTTAAAGTATGTTTTTAATGGTTTTCTGAGAGAGGAAAGCAGAAGGAGATAGAAACATCAATAATGAGAGAGAATCAATGATCTGCTGCCTCCTGCACACCCTCCACTGGGGATCGAGCCCACAACCTGGGCATGTGCCCTGACTGGGGAATCAAGACCTCCTGGTTCATAGGCTGATGATGCTCAACCCCTGAGCCACCTTGGCTGAGCTAAACCAATGCTTTTTAAACGTGACCTGAACATTTGATATATCTCTGTTATCTCTGTTCTTTGCAGAGGACCCGCACTTGTTTGTAATATGCAGAAAGTGGAATGCCTAGCCTCAGGGCAGAAAGACATGGAATTCTGTTTCTCTTTGTAGAAGCCTTCTCATGTTTTTATGACATCGGTACTTGCACTATGTAATATAAATGACTACAATACATTGGTAGTATTCTTGACTTTTTAAAATTTTTGATAAGAACTGAGTTTATATTTTGGTCCCAGATTTTCCACATGACCTATGACCTGGCCAGCGCGGTGGTGCGCATCTTCAACCTCATCGGCATGATGCTGCTGTTGTGCCACTGGGACGGCTGCCTGCAGTTCCTGGTGCCGCTGCTGCAGGACTTCCCCTCCGACTGCTGGGTGTCTCTCAACAAGATGGTCGTAAGTCCCTCCTGTTGTGTCCCAATTCGCATTTGCAATCCCTACCAACAAGCTATCTGTTTCTGTTAAAATGACCGCATTTCCCCCCACCAGTGTTCAGAGGAAACTTCCTTTTGCTTCCATGGATGGAAAATCAGATGTTATGTTTCTTTTCTACAACAAAATTTCATCTACTACATGAAATGTTCCTGGGGATGTTCCAGTATATGTTACAGCCTCTATTTTTAGATATCTCACTCTGGTATCTTGAGGCATTTTATTTCATAGGTACAGGTATAAACATGCACACAAATAGCCATAGTGCAACATTCCTTTCAAATGCCTATTCCTGCCCTAACCGCTCTGGCTCAGTGGATAGAGCATCGGCCTGTGGACTGAGGGGTCCCAGGTTCGATTCCAGTCAAGGGAACATGCCTGGGTTGCGGGTTTGATTCCCTGTGTGGGCTGTGCAAGAGGCAGCCAATCAATGATTCCCTCTCATCATTGATATTCCCTCTCTCTTTCTCTCTCTCTCTCCTTTCTCTCCTCCATTCTGAAATCAATAATAAATAAATAAATAAATAAATAAATAAATAAATAAATAAATAAATAAAATGCCTACTCTGTGGCTCAGTTGTTTGGGCATCTTCCAGTGCACCAAAAGTCTGATGGTTTGATTCCCAGGCACATGCTCCAGTTACAGACTCGATCCGTGGTAAGCAACAGGATGTTTCGTTCTCACATCGATGTTTCAGTCTCTCCCTCTCCCTTCCTCTAGCTCAAATTCAGTGCCTACTTAAATGCCTACTCTTTAGAATAACTTCTTTCTTTCAACTTGATTTTAGCATTTATGACATTCAATTCCAGGCATTCTTAAACATACAGAGACATGTGTCTTAGTATAAAAGCAAATGGGCTGGTTATAAGGTGAAATGATATTTCAAACAGTAATTTTTTCTAGGGAAAACTTCATGGCAAAGGTAGCATTTAAACTTTGCCCTAACAGCTATGAAAATACCTTTAAAATATGTGAAGTATTATCTCCCCCAGACCCTCCTCCCCTCCCCGCTGTAATTTGACAATCTGCTTGTTGCAGATTTTTTTTGGGGGGCGGGGAGCTTTTTTTTTTTTTTAATTTTTTTTATTTTATTATTTTTTTCATATTTTATTGATTTTTTTGCCCCCCTCCCTCCCTCACACATATCCCCTCCCTCCCCAGAGTTTTATGTCCATTGGTTGTACTTATATGCATGTATACAAGTCCTTGGGTTGACTTATTATCTCCCCCAGTGTGTGTTTTTTAAATCAGTCAATACCATGGTGAATTATTTGAATTGCTGAAATAGGAGATTTGACTAGCAAAATGCTACCAGAAATGGGATTAATATTGCTTTGCATTTGCAATATTTGCTTTTGTTTTATTCAAGAAATGTCTGATTATAAAATTCTAGCTGAATGAAAATATTGTATTAGTGTGATAATTAATGTCTAATATAATTAATTTGAAAAATCTTGTCATTCCCATGGCCTTTTGTGACTATGATTTAGGCATATCACATTAACATTGTCTTAGTTCATTATTAAAGGGATTAGAAGTAATGGTATTTGGTTTAAATTACAAATATGAAATATTTATTTTAAGAATCTAAGAACATGAAAATTATGACAGTTTTGAGCTAACATTTTAATTTTGATGGTATTTAGGGAATGATTTTCCAGAATAAATAGAGAAGAATTTGTAGCTAAATAACATGTTCTTGGGGGCATGTTTCTCTCCTTGAAGTCTGCAAGTTTACTCTTTGGGATCCCACAAGTTTCCCCAGCAATCTCTTAAACACTAGCAAGAGTTAGAAGAGTTTCAACATGAGCATATTATGAACATCGGGTCAGCTGAATTCCCTAACTTTGGAGTCTGGATTTGCTTTTGTTGAAGTGTGTTGTGTCATGAGGTGTTATTTAAAATAATTCTGGCTTATGGGTTAATAAATAAACAATCTATTTATACTAAACAAAAGTTAAATGATATATTAAATGTGATACAAAATTTTCACTGGACTCAAAAGGAGAAATGAGTTGGAAAACTTAATCATTTTTATAGGGCCCATGGTTGTATTGTGTTAAACTACACACTCTACAATAGTTAGTGCCCTAACAGCACTATATTTACTCTAGAGGTTCAGTGCACAAAATCTGTGCATAGGGGGGCAGGGGTGTACCTCAGCCCAGCTTGTACCCTCTCCAATTTGGCATCCCTCTCCCAATCCAGGACTGCTGGATCCCAATTGCTTGCCTTCCTTCCTGATTTCCCCTAATCACTTCTGCCTGCCAGCCTGATCTCCTCCTAACTACTCTCCTGCCAGCCTGATCGACGCCTAACTGTTCTCCTGCCAGCCTGATTGCCCCTAACTGCCCTCTACTGCGTCTGGTCACCCCCAACTTCCTTCCCTGGCAGGCCTGATCCCTCCCCACTCCCAACTGGCTGCCCCTGCAGGCCTGGTTGCTCCCAAATGTCCTTCCCTGCAGGCCTTGGTCTCCCACAACTGTCCTCCCCTGCAGGTCTGATTACCCCCAACTGCCCTCCCCTGCTGGCCATCTTGTGGTGGCCATTTTTGACCACATGGGAGTGGCCATCTTGTGTGTTGGAGTGATGGTCAATTTTATTATTTTCTCTTTATTATATAGGAGATTGTATGCAGCTATCTGGTTTCAGCAAAACAGCATCATCCATCACAGTAGATTTATACTAAGATACATTGATTATTTTTTTAGTGTCTGCTTTGTAAATTTATTTTTGTTTTTATTTTGCAAGAGCTATAAATACATTTATAGCTCAAACAAAGCTATAGTCACCACAAGTACACTGGGACGCTAGAGTAGGAAGAGTTGTTTGTTGGTATCTACTTTAAGCGAATTATTTGGAAAGAAAAGGAATATATGTCATTTATTTGCCAGTTTCCATATCCAAGCAGAATGTTGAAAACTAGGATTATTATATTATCTATTCATGCTCTAGCAAATATACAAAGACAAAGTTAAAATTGGTTCACTTTTTCTTTTACAAAGCCCAGTGAACTACTTAGATAATGATTGATTGAAATAATATAATGGATTATATAACTTAACATGAAGCTAAAATATCTTAATTTAAAATATATGTCCTCTCTTGAGGTATAGCAATGTATTGTAGATCTGTAATTCTATAAATTAAAAATTGTGTTAATACATTGTTGATTTTTTTTCTAAGTAGAATGTATTGCCACAGACTTTTTTTTTTAAAGTCCTGATAAGAAGGAACTAATTTGCTGACAAGTCACTATGTAGCTCTCCTGGAAAAAAATACATTCATAGGTCCTATGAGTGATTATAACAAAGTAGGTTAGCAGCCTGCTGAGTACTGTAGTTCTCCTTCACCATCCAATTTCCTATTTCTACCTAATAGGAAAACCAGCCTGGTGCCAGCTCTCTATTGAATAGAAACCTCGTCACAAAAGGAACAATTCACTTACTGTGTTCTTCCTTCTCAGGCATGTACCCAGTTATGGAAACAATCCTATGGAAATGAGTTCTAATCTGGTCTTTTGTTTTCAAATGAAACATGTAAGAGAAAAAAGTGTTAAAATGAATTGTCCTTCCATCCAAAGAAGGACAAAAGGTATTACTTATATTACATATTGGCTAAGACTGCATTAAGTGGCCTTACCAGTACCAAGACCAATACAGAAGTTTCAAACATGTTTGTTCTTCTTATGTAGACCAACTCTTCCATTTTAAGCCACAAATAGCTAGAAGCAGCACCATTCATGGTAACTAGCATAGCCAACTTGTCAGATAAGACCTTGGGAATGTGTAGTAGAATCATGAGCTCATCTTCTTTTAAAGGCATAGAGATGGTCCAGTAAGACCAAAGTTAAATACTCTTCTAGCATTACCAGCCAGCTGCCTCTGAATCTCAGCTCTATCTCAGTGAGACGTACACCTGGCCTCCCTGTATAACCTGTTATCTCCAACTCCATGTATAAGAGCTATAAGCATATCCATCTGTGGGCTCTAACCATTTACTTTAATTGTCTAAGCTAGATAAAGATGAAAGATTGCAGAAGAAAATTTTAGAACTCACCATCATATCTTTGTAATTCATAAAAAGGTATATAATCATGAATCACTGTCTAGTGTATATGTTCCAATATAATTTTCTAGAATATAAGAGCAACAAAAGTTTTCTCTAAATATATTCTAAAGATAAAAGTAGATATTAATTATGGTAGCTACTTACACTGACAACCAAAGTAATCACATGCATACAGAGCACCTGTGTTAGCCTTTGCCATTGTGATCAGTGTGGTCATCTAAGATCCTTTAGTCTGCAAGTTAGGGAAGGGCTTTGGGTAGAAAAATCTTTAGTTTCAATTGTATTCAAATGAGGATATAATTCAGTTTGATCATCTCAATTTGCATGAACTGTATTTTTGTCCTTTAGATGACTTTTAAAAACAAATTGTGTCCTAAGTCCAGCTAGTCATTCATATTTGTAAAAACTTATTTACCTAAACGGAATTTATAAGATGTTTTGGAAAATACCATGTCAGGTGTTACCCATTCAGTGGTTTCCTTGCTAACTCCTCACTACTCCCAAATAGAAACTAAATAATTAATACTCCATTAAATGATGATTATATTCCATATAGCACCTTTGTAATTCAGCTCTCAATTATCTTACCAATTCTTTAAAAAAAAAAAAAAGGAGGGGGGAGAGTTTGGCATAGGTCCATAATCAGTAAATATTAGGCAAATGAAATTAAAGATTTATTAATCTTCAACTTTTAAAGATTTTATTCATGACTTCTCCTGGAGGTACTTTTTATATGCAAACACCAATGAAAACATACATTATGAATTAAGAATGAGATATTCAACTCATCTGTCAAAGATCAAGCAGGAAGTTAGTGACAGAACTGGATCTAAGATAGCATCTAAATAACCTTTAGAGTGAGGGAAACATTGATGGCATTTAGTAATAGTTG